AAAAAAGGGCTACCTCCTAATAGAATGAATATATTCTCTGTCTATTTGGCAAGAGTCAAAAAGAATATGCATATGGTTATTGCTATGTCGCCAATAGGAGATGCATTTACAACAAGATTAAGAATGTTCCCATCATTAGTGAACTGTTGCACTATTGATTGGTTTACTGAGTGGCCTGAAGAAGCACTTGAAGGTGTTGGTAGAGGGTAACTAGTAGAAGTGGCTTAACAATTAGATTTAGATATCAAAAATACAAGATTAGTAGATATGTTCAAGTATATGCATAAATTTGTTGAAAAATTGTCATTGCAATATAAGTCTGAACTTAGAAGGATTAATTATGTTACTCCAACATCTTATCTAGAATTATTGAGTTTATATATCAATATTGTACAAGATAAGAGAAATGACTTAAAGGCTTAGATTCTTAGACTGAAAAATGGTTTGGACAAATTATAAGATGCCAACAAGGCTGTTGCCGAAATGAAAATAGTCTTGGAGAAAATGCAGCCAGAATTAGAATAAGCATAGATTGAAACAACCAAAATGATGGAGCATCTGAAAGTGGAAAAGGAAGAAGCTGATTAAACGTAAAGAGTTGTTGCTGTGTAAGAAGCTGAAGCCACTCAATAAGCCAGAGAAGCCAATTAAGTTGCTCAAGAGGCAGCTGAAAGAGTCAGAGTTGCCAATGAAGAATTGGCCCAAACACTATTGAAGGTGAAGGAATTATAGAAGGATCACTTAGTAGAATTGAAATCATTGTCATCTCCACCTGAGGCTGTCAAAGTAGTTTTAGCAGGTGTTGTGATACTTACAACAGATTATATTAAGAAGTCTGGAGGTGAAATTATTACTCAGCCAGTACCAAATTAAATTGGTAAGAAAGAAGAGAATTACTTTGAGACAGCTAAGAAATATTTACTTAATGATGTAAACTCATTGCTACAAATGTTGTTGGAGAAGTTTGATAAAGAAAATATCAATCCAGCTGCTATTATTAAGATGGAATAGAAGGTCACTTGTCATCCAAAATTCAATTAGAATGATGCATTCCAAGGATCAAAAGCCACAGGTTATTTGTTTGGATGGTGTAAATGCATGTATGACTTCTACAAAGTGTATACTGAAACTAAACCCTTAAGAGAAAAGCTAGCACTTATGACCAAAATTGTGGAAGATAAAAACAGAGAATTAGCAATTAAGAAAAAGGAATTGGATGAGATTAATGCAAAGATAAGAGAATTGCAAAGAGTCTTCGATGATAAAAAGAAATAATAAGAAGATTTATAGAAGAAGATTAAAGAGTGTGAAGTGAAGTTGGAAAGAGCATAAAAGTTGACTGAAGGTTTGAGTGATGAAAAGGAGAGATGGGCAAAAGATATTGAAAGTCTTACTAATAGTGGTGGTTTAATACCTGGTAATTCTATTATAGCTGCAGGAATGGTTGCTTACTCTGGACCTTTTGTATCGTAATATCGTATCAGAATGGAATAAGATTGGAGAGCTAAATTAAAGGAATATAATATTCCATTCTCTGATTTAATTACGATGAGGAAATTCTTGGGGGATGAAGTTAAGATATAATCATGGAATATTTGTGGATTACCAAAGGATGACACTTCCATTGAAAATGGTATCATCATAGATAAGAGTAGAAGATGGACTTTGATGATTGATCCACAATCTTAAGCTAATAAATACATTAAGACTATGGGTAAAGACTTACCAGAAGGATTGGATGTCTTAAAACAATCAGATTAAAATTTAATGAGAACTTTGGAGTTGGCTATTCAATTTGGTAAATGGGTTTTGGTAGAGAATGTTGGGTTATCCTTAGATCCCTCTTTGGAACCCATTCTATTATAATAAATCAATAAGACTGGAACATCTGCCACAATATAAATTGGAGATAAGAATCTGCAATATAATTTTAGTTTCAGATTCTTTATGACAACCACACTTCCAAATCCTCATTATTCTCCTGAAACTTCAGTTAAAGTAACTATTATAAACTTTGCAATTACACCACTAGGATTAGAAGAACAGATGTTGGCATAAATTGTGGCATTGGAGAATCCTAATTTAGAAAATAAGAAGACGGAAATAGTTAGAAAGAATGCATAAGATAAAAAAGAATTAGTTAACATAGAAGATAGTATTTTAAGAAGTTTGTCTGAAACCAAGGGAGATATTTCAGAAATATTGATGGATGAGACTCTGATCAATAAATTATAAAATTCAAAGAAGTTTGCGGCTGAGATTAATCAAAGAGTGAAGGATTCCAAAATAACTGAAGCTCAAATAGACGAAGCAAGAGAATCATATAGATCAGTTGCATTCAGAGCTTCATTACTTTTCTTCTGTATTATAGATTTATCTACAATTGATCCTATGTATTAATACTCTTTATAATGGTTCATCAACCTGTTCACTTTAGGTGTTTAGAATGCACCAGCATCATAGGTTTTGGAAGAGAGATTGAATCATCTCAATAACTTTTTCACTTACATGTTGTATGAAAATGTTTGTAGATCATTATTTGAAAAGCACAAACTACTATTTTCATTTATGTTGACATATAAAATCTTGAGTGCTGCTCATAAAATGAATGAAGGGGAATGGAGATACTTATTATAAGGTGCTACAGGAGATGTTTAATTACCACCAAATCCGACTGAATGGATTAGTGAGAATACATGGCCAGAGACTTATAGAAACATTTATGGTATGGCAGAATTGACTAATTTTGATGGCATTCTATCTGATTTCATGAGTAACTCTGATAAATTTAAAACTATTTTTGATGCTCCTAATCCTCAAGATATTGAATTCCCTGAACCTTGGAATGAGAAATTAGATTCCTTTTCAAGAATATTGTTATTGAAAGCAATACGAAGTGACAAAGTTATTCCAGCAATACAAAAATGGATTATAGAGAAGATGGATGAGAAATTCATCATCCCGCCTACATTTGATTTGAGTAAATGCTACAAAGATTCCACTCCTAATACTCCACTCATATTTGTTTTGTCTCCTGGTTCTGATCCTATCGCAGATCTAATGAAATTCGCAGAAGAAATGAATATGACTAAGAGAATTGATTCCATCTCTTTGGGTTAAGGATAAGGTCCAAAGGCTGAAAAATTAGTTAAAGATGCTTTAGGCAGAGGTGGATGGGCATTGCTAATGAATTGTCACTTAGCAACATCTTGGATGAATGATCTTGAAAAACTGAATGAAGAAATGTAAGATCAAGGCACAAAAGATTTTAGATTATGGTTAACATCAATGCCTTCAAAATCATTCCCAACTATTGTATTATAGAATGGTGTTAAAATGACACTAGAACCACCAAAAGGTCTTAGAAATAATATGCTCAGAACTTACACCTAATTAGATGATAAAACTTTAAGTGATTGTAAGAAACCTGAGGAATTCAAGAAATTATTATTTGGATTCTCTTTATTCCATGCAATCATTTAGGAAAGAAGAAAATTCGGAGCCATTGGGTGGAACATTCCCTATGAATTCACCAATGAAGATCTCACTGTGTGTAGAAGATAGCTAAAAAGCTTATTAGATGATTATGTACTCATACCATTCAAAGTTATCAATTATCTTGGAGCAGAAATTAATTATGGTGGTAGAGTTACTGATGATAAGGATGTGAGATTAATTAAAACCATTCTGAAATTGTACATTTCCCAAGAAGCGTTAAAAGAAGGCTATCAATTTTTAGTTCCTACTTATTACCAACCTAATGTAGGTGAAAGATAGAATTATATAGAGTATATAGAAAAATTACCATTGAATCCGGAACCTGAAGCATTTGGATTGCATAGCAATGCTGAAATAACCAATGCTTAAAATGAAACTAGAATTCTCTTAGAAACACTATAATCTATTCAACCAAGAACGCAATAAGGAGCAGGAAAATGCAGAGAAGATGTTATTGAAGAATTAGCCAACTTTGTTGAATCTAAGACTCCTGATCTATTTGATATCGATGAGATTTCAAACAGATATCCTACTGATTATCAAGAATCCATGAATACTGTTCTAGTTCAAGAACTTATTCGTTATAATAGGTTGCTTGCCATAATGAAAACTACACTCTCTAATGTTAAAAAAGCACTTAAAGGATTAATAGTGATGTCAGAGGAAATGGAAAAATTGTCAAACAGTCTTTACGATAATCAAGTGCCTCAATTATGGGCAGAGAAAGGATTTCTAAGTTTGAAACCTTTGGCCTCCTGGACTCAAGATTTACTAGATAGAATTGCCTTTCTTAAGCATTGGGTAGATAAAGGAACACCTAAGGTTTTCTGGATTTCTGGTTTCTTCTTCCCTTAGGCTTTCATTACTGGTATGGTACAAAACTACGCCAGAAAACATGTCATTGCTATTGATAAATTATAATATGAGTATATTGTGTTGGACACTCTTACTCACACAGGTGTAACTGAGAAACCAGAAGATGGAGTCTATATTTATGGAATCTTTCTTGAAGGAACCAAGTATAATATAATATTAAATTAATTAGATGGGATTACAAGAGACATTTGATATCGTAACCTAAAGTAAAGGAATTATATTCAGATTTACCTTTGATGCACTTACTCCCGTATGATCCATCACAAATTGAAGTACAACCCAAAGATCCGAAGGAAAAGAAGATTTACAAATACCAATGCCCGTTGTATAAAGTGGTTTCAAGGGTAAGGATCTGTAATAATCATAGGCTGGTACACTCTCAACAACAGGACATTCTACTAATTTTGTCATGCCACTTGAATTGCCATCGAGAGATGATGAAGATGTGTGGATTAGAGCAGGTGCAGCAGCTTTCTTATCATTGAGATATTGAAAATAATATATATTTTTTATTTAATGCAAATGATAAATAAAATTTATGTTTAAAATTTATGACATAATAACACTTTAGATTTAACCAATTATTAATAATATAGGAATATACATTTGATTTGAAGGATTAATTAATGATTGAATTGTTGATGGGAGATCAAATTTGGAGGCTCCGAAATCAGATTGAAAAATTAAGAATGTACTTTATATTTTCTTTTTTTCTAGAAATCCAAGAGAAAGTCCAAGGGAATAAAAATAACAGAAAATAAATATGAATGATAGATTTCCTAGATCAGAGAACAATATTTAAATATTATATAATAAAAATTATTAAAGAATATATAATGCAGAAAAACAATTGAATAAGAACAGAAAGTTAAGAAAAATCATTAATATAATTAATTATTATTATTAATATTAATTAGTGTAAACAAAATTGATTAACTTGAATAAATTCTCGACTGAATGAAGTTGTGCAGAAAAACTTGTACATTTTTGTTGTAGTGAAAATAAAATGGTGACAAAAAAGGATTACAATATATACACTTGATCACACCACTCAATTCAGCTTAGTCTTTTTGAACCCGCACCTCGAATAATGATAATCCATGAGTTCGTAGTATTGTGAGATGCAATTTTGAGACTTTAGCTTCTTATTAGGCATTAGAGCTTGATTATTACGTAATGAAGGCTAGTAATTTAAATAAAAACTAAAGTTAATGAGTGCGTCGCTTTCTGATTCAGAATGATCGTTTGTCACAGAAAAAGATACCTCACATTTTAGGCCCTAGGCAAATGAGAAAGAATTACTTACTTGTGGATAGAGGGGAGAGTACAAATAGAAATCTTACTTCTCCATTGGTTTCATCAGAGGTTTGGCAAACTCTATAACGTTTTTATAGTAGTCGACATTTGAGCACCCAGGTTATAAAGATATTCTTGACATTTATTAATAAATTTTGTACTCCGGAATTCCTATCTTCATGCACGAGTCAACAAAGTATTGTACTGAGTATCCTAAATCTTCCACCAATTTGATGTCCAATATCAAACCAGAGATGAAAAATTGATTTAAGCCTTTCAGATACTTGTATTGGTATGTCCCAAATGATCTGTAATAATCTGGGGGAACCTAAAATAATGTTGATAGTCTATTATGAACTACTTATTCGATTTCTCCCTATTTTAAACCAGAATTTAGTTGTTCATAGTACTTCTTAATGTATTCGCTCAATTCATTCATTTAAACATCACCAAAACTTTATAATCTTTTGGCTACGTATTCCCAAGGAGTTTCAGAGAAATCAAGTTGAGTGTAGCACAATTTGATTACCCCAGCAGTTTAATCCACGAGAATCTTGGAAATTTTTTTATAGGGATTTTGACAACTGATACCAGTTTTAAGCAATTCGTGCTGTCTAATGTAACGAGCATCTGCAAATAAATGAAAGTCCTTAAAAATCATCATAAAATTAAGATACTCCTTTCATCCTGTAAGTGCTGAGCGGATTCAGAAACTTTTTGGGGAAAACTATTAAAGATACTTCCTTTCCTTTCTGAATGTCTGTTTCCTCACCATGAATTGGAGTTGAATGTTGCATTTGATCGATTTACATTATTAATTTATTTATTTTTAAATTATTGGATCTCAAAAAATTATAAATAGAGTTTCTTATATTAATTATACGATTTTATATAATGTATAATTTAAATTATGTTAATTCTCAATAAAGTTGATTTAAATTAATTAAATTAGAAAATAACTAATTAAATGTTAATCTTAAATAAATCAATTTTTTTCAGTTCTCCATCCCTTAGTAAGCAACTCAGTAAGTACTTTAATTCATCCTCCTTACATTATTTCATATATACAGTCAAGAAAAATCTTGAATTTTAAGTGTAAAATACCTTAGAAGTAATTGATATTCTATTAAATGTTTTGAGTTCAATTGATTGCCTTTTTGACAGAAAAAACAATTGTTTAGACCATCAATTTAATTTAGATTCCAATTATAGTAATCAAAATTAAATTGCCCTAATCAAATGAATGTAATCAAATACAATGATGGAATAAGATTTTACAAGTACAAGTTTCATCATTTTAAATACTTTTTATTAAAAAATGACTATAAACATAACATAATATCGTATTTAACAAATGAACTAATTATTATAAATCTAGTCAAATCTAACATAACAATAACTTAAAATTAGGGTTATATTTTAACATATCACTATTACTACTATTAATTATAATTGTTAGAATAATGACAAAAAAATGTTTGCTTAATTTGACTATTTTTAACATGAGAATTTTTCAAAATTTTTTTGGTACCCATAATTGAAAAGTCTTTATGTAATCATATAAAAAATAACAAAACTATTATGAGTTTATTAACTTATGTTTTTTGGAACTTGTTGTTTTTCCATTCTTAAATGAGCTCAACTGCAATTTAAGCATCATAGATCCTTTAATTAGCATAATTCTCATGATATATTGATTTTAAAAAATCCAACTTATATTCTTTTGGAATAGTAAGAAAAATTTATAAAAATTTAAAGTCTTTCTTAAATACGAATGTGATTTCTTTATCTTAAATCAATTCTGAGCGATAATTGCCATTATAATGGAATTAAGATACATTTGTTAATATTTTAGAATATAATTATAAAGTATTTTCATGACGTAATAATGTCTCAATATAAATGAGTGGGAACCTTGAGTAGTATAATTAATATATGAAAATAGCAGAATCAAATGATAACTCAGAAAAATTGTTGTCAAAATTGCATTTTAATTAAGTTGGCTTCCAACTACCCTAGTAAGTCCAAGAGGAAGCAACGATTGCGTAGATACTATCCTATCGAAGTCCCGCGTATAAGCGCTTGCTATACTATACATTTTGCATTTTGACTTGTATAATAATTAGTAAAAAGTATAGGTGGTGTTGGATATCTATTTGCCAGATGGAATTTATCATTAAAGCTAGCTTTGTTATATAGCTAATGCATTGACATAGAGTAAGCAACTCACTTAGTCATAACTTCATTGGAGAACGAAAAAGAACTAATAAAGGTTGGATTAAAGAAAATGCAGATCAATAAGAGCGAAAAGTAAAGTAAGGTAAAAAGAATATGAATATATAATTTAGTCCTTCGAATATCGTTTATATACGTATATCTATGAGGATGAATGTTTTAAAGCCATAGAAACACCATTCTAGACCTTAACCCATGAAGACATTATAAAAAATTATTCTCGAGGAGTGGAATTACCTGAGGAAATAGCTTCTTAATATGGGTATAATAATACAACGATACCTGACAAAAGTACAGGTAAAATCTTGATTGATGAAATTTTAACCCCGTTTTATTTGTTTCAAATTTTTAGTGTGTGTCTGTGGAGCATTGAAGAATATTATGAATACGCAGTAGTCATTTTTTTGACATCTGTAATTTCTATATTAGTGCAATTAAGAGAAACGAAACTGAATTTTGCAAAACTTCGGTAAATGACTTCTTAAGATTCAGTGGAAAATGTGTTTAGAGGACAAAATGATATTGTCATATAAAATAAAGAGATTATTGTGAATAAAACAGTAACAAACAACAAATAGAAATTAAGTTCAAAGGCAATTGTACCAGGGGACTTAATAGAAGTGAGAGATGATTGGACAGTTCCATGCGATTGCATCCTGTTAAATGGTTCATGTATCATCAACGAATCAATGCTCACAGGGGAATCAATACCAATCATCAAAAACCCAATTCAATTCAATAAGCTAATCTATTCGCCAAACGAAGACTCTAAGGCTATCACCTTGTTTGCTGGAACTAAATGTTTAGAAGCACGACATCCACAGAAAGGGGAGGTTCCGATATTGGCATTGGCAGTATAGACAGGGTTTTCAACCATTAAAGGATAATTGGTCAGATCTATTTTGTATCCCAAACCGACTACTTTCTCATTCTACAAGGATTCCTTATCATTTATAGCAGTTCTGGCAATGATGTCCCTTGTGGGGTTTTCTTTGACGATAAAAGATTAGGTAGATGAACTCAAAGAAGACAATACTACGATATTTCAGATGATCATCAATTCATTAGATTTGATCACCATTACTGTGCCTCCAGCATTGCCTACGTGTCTATCAATAGGAGTATCATTTGCACTATCGAGATTGAGCAAGAAGTCAATTTATTGTATATCTCCCAATAAGGTGAATGTGGCTGGCAAAATAACCATAATGTGCTTTGATAAAACAGGTACCTTGACTGAAGACGGTCTTGATCTTTATGGAGTCCGATCAATTGGATACAATCACAGTAAATTTTCAATATATATTTCCTATAGAAAAATCGAAGATTTGTTTTTAGGATTTGATAATAGATGTGAATGAATTGCCCATTCCCAACGTGATGTTTTCAATGAACTTTGGTCAAAATGTATATGGGCAGACAAAGTTACAGCCGACATAATTGATTTTGGAAATCATGGCATCCTGTCATGGGTTGGCTAGAGTGAATGGTCAATTGATAGGGGATCCTTTGGAAGTGAAAATGTTTGAAGCCACGAGCTTTGAATTGGACGATCTCCATAATGAAGTCTTTAAGGATGATGACAGGATTAAAATTTTAAAAAGATTTGATTTTTCATCTACTCTCTAGAGAATGAGTGTTATCGTTTCACGCAATGATAAACTGAGAGTGCATGTGAAAGGATCTCCTGAGAAATTAAGAGAATTGTGTAATCCAGCAAGTGTGCCTCGAAGTTTTCACAAGATACTTGAGCATTATTCAAAGATGGGATTCAGAGTGCTGGCTTGTGGATCCAAAGTCATTGATAGTGAATGTAATAGAGATAAGGCTGAATGCAATCTGACATTTTTGGGGTTCTTGATTATGTAGAATAAACTCAAACCAGTTACTCGTAGTATAATTCAAACATTGTAAGATGCGATGATCAGAACAGTGATGGTTACAGGTGATAACGTTTTAACTGCCATCTCTGTTGCCAGATAATGTAGTCTGGTATAACCAAATTAACGAATTTTCTTGGGGGACATTGCTGAAGAAAAGTTGGATGGGAAGAATCACATCACTTGGAAGGACTTTGATATGAATGAGAAGGTACTAAATCCAGAGAATTTATCACCTGAATTGGATATTAAGGATGATTCAGGAGATGAATTTGAAACTCCTGAATTATTTGGGTAATATGAATAGCAGCATGAATAATAAATGGAACTCATCATAGAGGAGACCGAGAAAATTGCCAATCCTTAAAGTTATGAAAGCAGGAAAACAGTCAATTTGAAGAAGAGCAAGTATGAGAGCTATAAGGAATAGGAGGAGAAATTAAAAGCTGAAAATCTTGATCATCTGATAGACGACCAGGATCCATGGAAGACAGATCAACCATTTGTAGTAGCCATATCTGGAAAGGCATTCTAATTGTTACTGAATCAAATTGACACGAATCCAAAGGCAAGAAGACTGTTTGGTTTGATGTTAGAAAAAGCTTAGATTTTTGCGAGAATGAAGCCTGAGCAGAAGGCTTAGCTCATAACTCACCTGTAAAAGATTAGTAAGAAGGCTCTATGTGGAATGTGTGGTGATGGAGCAAATGATTGTGGAGCATTAAAAGCAGCTGACATAGGAATCTCATTGTCTGATGCAGAGGCATCAATAGCAGCCCCATTTACTTCCAAGGTTCAGAACATTTCATGTGTTGTCAAATTGTTGAGAGAAGGAAGAGCGTCTTTGGTTACAAGTTTCTAATGTTTCAAGTACATGGCCTTGTATAGTATGATTCAATTTTGTACAGTGACCTTGCTGTATTTTACCCTTTCAAACATGTCTTCTTTGGAGTACTTTTATATCGACTTATTCATCATCATACCATTGGCAGGAACCATGGGACAAACCAAAGCTTATAAGAAGTTAACCCAATTTCAACCAGGATCAAATTTAATTTCTTTTCCCGTTCTGTTGTCAGTGATTGGCCAAACCTTGATCCAGATCGGATTTTAAACTTTTGTTTACTTTTACATGAAGAGTCAACCATGGTATAGGTCGGGAGTGGATATTCATAAGGATATCGGAGATGTTGATGATCATCTTGAGATGGAAACATGTTATGAAAACACAGTGTTGTTCTTGTATGCGAATTTCCAATACGTATTCCAGTGTGTTGCCTTTTCAATTGGTAAACCATTCAGGAGAGAATTCTACACCAATATCTACTTCACCTTATGGATAGTGATAGCCATGATCTTTAATAGTTACATCTTCCTATTTCAGAAGAGTGGCTTGTAGGATATTTTCGGGGTATAATAATCATTTAAAGTGTTTAGTTAATGTTCGAATATGAGTCCGAGAAGGATGCCGATCTAAGTACGGCCATCGAAAAATCGTGGATGTATTGGCTCTATGGCATTATGATAATCAATTTGATGGCTACGATAATATTTGAGAAATACTTGGTGCCATTCACGACCAGGTTTTATAGAGGGAAGAAGAGGAAGTTGTTGAAGAGATACAAATACTCCTAGAATCCATACCTGAATGATCAATTAGAGCAGAAGTGATATCTATATACATAATATTAATTATA